ACTATGTTCTCACTTATCACTTCATTTTTGAAACCTGACTTTCTTTTTCGTCATTTACTCGTTTTTCGAATCGTCACTTATTAATGTATATAATTCTAATATCCCAGTATACTAACCTCAAGCTACTTCAACATACTCTACTAGTCACGAAGCGTGGTCCGTCTGTTGTCCGTCGATCAACGGGTCGAAGCGCTATCTGACGTGTCAAAATCATCTAGTTCGTGCCCTTCCGTGAATGAGCAGATGAGAATGTTGCATTCGATATCCACTTTTTCCACGGATTCTGGCGCCTGTAGGAATCTAGTATTTCTAGTGCTACACTTCTTTCCAATCTCACTACTTGATATAAAAGTGTATTATTTTCGTCACTCCGGTGCTGCGATCCGAAACATAATAATTACCTTCATTATGCTGGTCTCGCCAATACTCAACCGTAGATAGCCATCTGACTCCTTTCTCTGACCATCACAACAGCATTCCTCTGCGCCCTAGCTTGCTATTTGGCCGCATGGAATGCGATCGGCCCCAGACATAACATCAACAAAACATACGAGACGCAAACCTGGTAGTATCTGACGAGTGTAATACTGTTGCCGCTCTAACCACACGATTGCCCCTTTTTTATATTAACAGTTGTTTCGCCAGATACGATTTTTTAAATTGATACCCGGTGGTCTCAGAATTACTCTTCAAGCGGAAGAAGGCCGAGGCTACACTAAGCAATTATCGTCCCAATAGTAGAATGGAATAAGATGGGAGACATGGTCACACGGATGCAAAGTCTTGCCACCCTCGCGACACTTAACAAGCTCAATCTCGATATCATCGATCACCGGCTTTCAGTCAGGATCTACAAGGGATTTGCGTTCGCTATACGAAAGAGTTTGTCGGCTATCTGCAGAGCCGTAAAAGGTAGAATCTATAAATAGAAGATATGAATTAATCGGGAAATGTGGTGGGTGTTTTTGATTACAGCAAATCACAGAGACAGCATGGGCATGACTTCACGCGAGGACGAATCACTGGGTAACTGGAAAAAGTAAGATGTGTTACGAGTGTGGTCTAGAAGTTTTGTGTTACTCTCAAGATTGTTTTATGCGCATGCGACGATAGGCCTCTGCTGATTACAAGAGGACGGAGATGTGAACACGAGCAACAAGCAGGCGATACTAGTTTGTATCAGGCAAGAATGTTCACGTCATCGCAGGCCTCAGTTAAAGAATATCATTTTTGCCGGGATGGCTAAGCATTCAGAATTGAGAGCGGAACTATCTTAACCCAAGGAGGATGGTAGAGCCCTCGACTAATCACTTGAGGGAGTCCTGGGTGGTCAAACCAATTCAGTGTGGCAATTGATAGTGGGATCACAGTCAGAAGCCGCTGTTAGTGAGAACGCATGGGCGAGAACATTAAATCGAGGCCATTAACGAAAGGACAATTCAATTACCGTAGAGCCCGCAGAGGCTTACGCGCGCGAAGGCAGCCACGCAAGGATGATCTGCACCGAGTCGCCGCGTACTGACTCGATTGCAGCATCAATTAAGATAAGCCAGTGTACGTTCCACATCATTGATTCTACGGCGTAACCTCGAAAATGTGACATGTGGGGTCGGGCGCAACAGATCCCTAAAACTCTGCGTCCTCTACTAACCACAAGGTCGATGACGAAGTCCTCGTGGATCAAGAACAGGGGGATGCGTCCAAAGATTCAGGGTTTCGGGCGACTTAATGAATGAAAGTTTACTTCCCCATCCCCTCTCAAAGAGGGCATCGTCTGTACATTGGCGTGCTCATATATATTTAATTCGCGTCGCTTCTGTTCGGCTCTTGTTTTCAATTGATAAGCAACATAATTTGTGCTTATACGAAGTTATTCGAATAGCGTATTTGAACTTATTTTTGAGCCTGCACTATTCCAAGCACATGTGCAACCTATCATCATTATATGTACCACCACTATCAGTGACTTGTTACCAACATCCAACCAAAGATTGGCAACTTAACTCTCAAAGGCTGGCAGTTATGAGCTGAAAAGGCAGTGAGGTCGATTTTGAGGTGCTCGTGGGAATCGTATTTTTTGTCGCAAGAAGGCGGCTGAGCAGAAAGGGCAGATGTCTTTCGAAAGAGGATGACTACCGCTGCACGATGAATGTGGTAGGACTTTTCAGCTGGGCTTCGATATTCAGAATCGCTTCATTTTCGAAACGTGTGGTCTCGGGTGTCGTGGAGCGTACACACTTTTTCGAGTTTTAACGACATTTGTTGGAGTTTCACCGTGAGTCTCTGCCGTTGATCTCCCTACACTTGAGTGAATTCATAGCTATAATGAGGGAGATGTCTCTAGTATCCACTCGAGAACGCTCCAAAAGAGGCACATGGAGGAAAGCCCAAAAAGTCCCTATCGAGTACTCAAGAAGATCTTTAGTTTCCTTGGGATCAGTAGGTTGTTTGAATATCAAGAAAATGTATCAAATATGGAAGAACAAGACGATCTATGATAAACCAATGCGGTGAACTGTTCATGCAACAAGCCATCCTTCACAGCGAACATAGTTCTTGTTTCTGTCCAAATCTCGTAAATCTTGAACTTCAGACTTCCCAAGAACGATTTCGCACGCCTATAAAGAAAAACTTGAATGTACTCTCAGCAATGTCGGCATTCATTCCAATAAAAAGATCTGTGAAGCTCAATACATGCTTTCAACAGTGTCCAACTCGCCTTAAAGCGAGAAATTACGATAAAATTTCTGTGCAGCATGGAAGAACGAGCAGCACTTCAAGCAGTAGCTAGAGCCCAAAGGAATCGAGATGTGGCCTTTTTGTGACTAAAGGTGCGCTCGTTGCAGCGCCCTGGGGCTGCCAATCCTTTCTGAGCTCCGCCTCCGCCTGTGCTCCGCCCCTCAGCAGTTCGATTATCATTTTGATAAGGTATGCCACTTCGAGCTCATGGAATGCTTATCAATCAAGGTATGATCTCTGGTGGTATGATGGCAGCTATGGTTTAACGAGTGCCGACGACCTCTTAGTTGGTTGCCAACTCGTCCATTATCGGAGGTCAACGGGCAGAGGAAGTGGTCCCATTTTGCGCGTTTTTGACGGATTTCTTTGCTTTTTTCGCTACTAGGGCATTATTCAGCATCTTCACTTCCACTATGAGCACAACAGAATCCTATCGTAATCTCTCGCTTTAACCGAAGTGTGTGCTCTGCGCCCACACGTGCGATTGGCACGGTGGCAAGTCGACCTTCTCCAGCGAGGGTGCTCACAAGGAAGCTCTTTCAGGAAGCAGGGGGGGCGCCGTTTTTCTGCAAGCGGTTTTCGCAAGTGGAATATAGAGGTACGTGCATGAAATCACAGCATGGAGTTGATGTTTTCCTAGGAGGGTCCCCGTTTCCTAAATTCGCGAACGTAATCGCATCAGCGGAAGCAATCATGTCATATCTACGATTAGGACCATCAGCAACCCTTATACGTAGACTTTGGCTAAAAATTGGTGAAGAAGGGTTAAACAGCAGTTGCTTGAGATATACTTCTTCGCTTCTTTTTTCGATATTCAGAAGGTCGCCTAAGAAACATCAACCACAGTTCTGTGCTCACACGCCACGTACCCTGTATCAGGCAAAAAACCGTTTCAAGGAAGCTGGGCATTTCTCCCTGGTTTCACACTTGATCGTGCTGACCTCTTTCAGCAAATTTTGTCATAGCCTTTGGAGTAGACCCGCCGTTCGCGTCGCGGCATTGTACGCCAATTTCACATAAGGCACATTTGTTAAGCGAGTGGCCGTAGAGTATGGCATCATGCAGCCCGCGAATCCGCGTGAATCGCAGAGATGGCCGTAGCTTACCGGGTTCACTAAGTCCGATTTTTCTATTACATTCCATTCTCCATCAACCTGTCTTTTACAGCGTCCACCTGAAAAGATGGCCAGAACACAACAGACTCTCCATTTCCTAGCTTGTATTATGGGTGCCATTCGTCAGCTTCTTTCCATTTTCGTCCTCTTTTGCCAACGGATTCTTGCTACTACCCTACCAATCCTGAGTCCATTGCAATCGCATTTGCATGCCCAAAAACTGCAGGTATTGGAAACTCTACCATCTGTTGAGAAGTTCTCAATAAGAAGGTCATATTTGAAATTTTCCTTGGGGGAGGTTGTATTTGATGGTTCTAAAGAGGATCGCGATGGTAGAAGAAGTATGATTTATTGGACGGATATATGTAGAATTTGGATGTGCTATATCCATACATATTTGCCCCTTCACCGCCAACGTCAGTTTCGGAGGGAGGGATTACGAGGGCGGGGTTACAGCTTGGTATGTGGTACACAAATTCGTGCTATAAAAACAATGGAGATGTGAAAGGGAAACGGTGAAGCGGCACATCGTATTGGCTTACCCCTGGATTCTACAACCTTTGCCGTCAGTTAGGCCGCGTCATAGGTCGCTACTCCGGAGATTAGGATAGTAGCGCGACAATGAAAAACATATGTATTGACGGCGAGATTAGGATAGTAGTAGATTAGGATAGTAGTAGAGTAGGAGATTGCGCTGACAAGATTAGATACGTATCGATTGAAATCGCCGGAGAGTAGTAGATTGCGATATTACGATAGTAGGATAGTAGTAGAGTAGGAGATTAGGTAGATTAGGATAGTGCGCTGACAAGATTAGATATGTATTGATCTATTCGCTTGAAGTCGCCCAATCTACTACTCTCCAGCGATTTCAATCGATACGTATCCAATCTTGTCAGCGCAATCTCCTACTCTACTACTATCCTAATATCCTGTCGCCTACTATCCTAATCTCCCGAGTCGCGAACTATGAACGCGGCCTTAGAGCTTCACGCTCTAAGGGAGATGGCCGCTTTTCTCGCATAATCAGGGAGTAGTATGTAGAAGAAGAGCGATTCAAAGATAGTAGAAAAGGCTTCGATGAAGGGACCTTCTTTTTGGGCGTCTCGCCACTAATTACTACATGCGAGCCTATAGTCAAACACATCATACCTTCAAATTGTCCACAATCCTGTGGGGATTCGATGATTTCGGAATGACTCCAACGCCTTGGCTAACTGCCCATGATAGTAACACAATCTGGAATATTCATTGAAAAAAATTAAACGCTGGAACACTTATTGCATCTGCTTGAATGTCACAGAACTAGATTCGGATGCGAGCTCACCTGTGGAGAAATTCCGTATTTAGCTGCTAATTGTAATACTGCTGGATGCTCAATTAGATCAGGGTTGTGCCGAGCCAAAGACGAATATGCCTAGAATAGCCCACTTATGTATTCCTCCACTTGACAATGTTTAGCATTGTTCAAGATAAAAGGTACAAAAAAATCAATTTGGATCTGACCTGAAAGAAAATGCCGTTGTTCTTACAGTAATCCATAAGCTCTTGCCGGACAAAATGAGGATGAAATTCTACTTGATTCATGCAGGGCAAATCCTAAAAAGGAATAATATGTATGCTATGGGGGGACGGAGGAAGGCAGTGGCTGGAAGAATTTGCTGACGATTCTCTCACAAGCTGTGATTCTCAGGTTCCCAAACGCCCCGAGTGATGGACTGGGAGAACAGGAGGAAGTGTGGAATGTTGGCTGGCTTCGCAACCTGTTACGCAAAGCAAAAGAGTAACCAAAAACCACTACTATCTTATTGCGAATGGAGGCCGAACACATGGCGCATCTGCAAAGGGTTGATAGGTGTCGACAACTTTTTCGGTAGTCGGTAGTCGCTTTTGTGTTGCTTGATATGAAGGTTCTCGAAAAATTTGGTCGAAAGGCCAAAAATAGACTCAAACCTGGCCGTAAGCTTTGATCTCCTCGATATGACGGACTTCATAGTTCGAAACGCCGACGGAACGAATTTTTCCTTCCTCTGAACGAACGCAATATTA